ACAATAGCGTTACGCGCTAAAGTAGCACGTAGTACTTGCCTTAAATCAACGTAAAATATTCTCTTCTTAATTTCGTGGGGTTTTGAATTTGCAGACGAAACTGCTCATCTTCTTGTTGCAATTCACATCATTCCAACGTTTCGCAGCGGGATCCGTATCGTGATTGAACATCTAGAAAACGCTCCATTACAATGAGTAAGTGGCAGAGAAGTGCTACAAAAAGTTTAAAGAAATGATAACATTTAGTTTAGTACAAATTGGCAGGCTAATCTACGCGGCGCCGAGTGCACTCAACACTTATGTGTGGTCAAATAGCTCGACCACCTACCGTCTTGAAGTGCGCTAGTCCTCGTATATCACCGGCGTGCAGGTTGCGGTGCTATCGTCCACCACCTGACTGAATCGAGAAGTTTTATTGGCGGAGGGGCATTTCGAATGTAAAATCCAAAACCCTCGGCAGAATGACGGCTTTGTAAGCAGTGAGGGGCATCGTTGTGTGAAACACGTAGGGGCGGAGGACGTGCTTTTCGAGGGGGGGGGTCGTATTTGGTCGTTGTTGGGAGAGTGGGTCGTATGTGGCTTTGAGAGAAATTTGCTGCGTCGGGAAAAACTTTTCCCGGTTGTTAACGTTTCCGCAGTTTTTCGCGTTGCAGATGTGCTATTTATCCCCCGCTCGACAGCAAGGTTTTTGGAAAAAACTAGGAAATTTTCAGGAAACTCGGGAAAAGGTGAAAATGTGGTAGGAAAACCTGATAAATTCTCCCGGTGGGTATATACCCCCTTCCCCTTCCCCGCTCGACGGAGAATCTTTGGGTGGAAAACTGGGAAATGTGGGAAATGGGTAGGTGCTGGAGAAGGGGTGGGGGGGGGTCGTACCGAGACCCACCGTCCCACACATCATGATGCTGTCCCCGTTGGTGGATACAATGGCGTTGGTCGGCTTGAGGGGGATCATTTTGCACTTTCGTTTGTTTATTTTGCTAGTTCCTGTCAATTACTCGTGTCACATGTTACCTGGTAGCTCATGCAATTGTTTGGCTTCACAGGAGTTTACAGGTCTCAAAGGGAGGCATTGGCAGAGAGCGACGGGACTCAGCAGAATGCCCTCACCAAGCCTAACTGCACTAGGTATACGATATCAAAATTGGATTCGAGGGACTGGGTGAGAAAGAGGTCATGCACTGCAGAGCACATCTTTTTTTGGGGATTTTGGTTGCGTCCGTGCACGACTCAACCCCCCCCCCCTCTCCCCGCTAATTTATAGCGTCAGTAAAACAAGAAAAACCAACTATCCAAAAAGTAGTGCTCGGACCAATACGACCGCTCCCGTGTTGGGGAATCCCAGGTGTAATCAAAAGATCGATAGGTACGTTATATTATTTTATTCTGTCATATGACTGGAAGGGTGGTTGATGGAAATCTGGTTTACCAATTTCACATTTTCGTGGGAACATGAACGAAAAAGCAGCCTTTCTCATAACGTACTGCAAAAACAGAAAGTTCCCTAGCGAAGCCACCCCCCCCCCCCCTAAGCGTGCCACAGCTTCCGGTGTCACCAAGTTCCCAAGTACTTGGATCGTCGTTGTGCGAAAATCCACCTCTTTTTTTGCAAAAAAAAACGCCTGAGCAAAGCAGGCGATTTATCAACATTGAATACATGAACTCGAATAGACGTATGAATACACGTCTACTCAGTTTCGCACATTGGAACTCGTTAGAAGTTGGTTCTTCCTACAACACGTCACTTGACGCATGACCGTAATTGCTCGCTCGTCAGTTCGAACGCACTTCTGGTCCCGCTTTCTCCGCGCAAAACTTTCAATATAGCCTTTAGCGACCTATGGACATCTAGAGGAGCAAAAAAAGTCAAAGTTGGGCAGCGCGAACTGACGATCTTCAAATTTAAGGCTGCGTTTATACTTTGCGGCAGCGTAGCGTAGCGCTTCCAGCGTACGCCAGCGGCAGTGTCGGGGAAGGATAGATATCGATCTAGCGTTCCCAGCGTCACCAGCGTACGCTAGCGCACGCGCCAGCGCACGCTAGCGCTTGCAGCGACGGGCTAGAGTGAGGCTAGAGAGTATTAAAGAGTAGGAGAGTACGAATACACTCTTCTATACTCTCTAGCCCCTCTCTAGCCCCGTCGCTGCAAGCGCTGGCGGCTATCGATCTAGCGCTTCCAGCGTTTCACTAGCGTTTCGCTAGCGCTTGCAGCGACGGGGCTAGAGAGGGGCTAGAGAGTATAGAAGAGCAGGAGAGTATTTCGTACTCTCCTACTCTTTAATACTCTCTAGCCCCTCTCTAGCCCGTCGCTGCAAGCGCTAGCGTGCGCTGGCGTAACGCTAGCGTACGCTGGTGACGCTGGGAACGCTAGATCGATATCTATCCTTTCCCCGACACTGCCGCTGGCGTACGCTGGAAGCGCTACGCTACGCTGCCGCAAAGTATAAACGCAGCCTGAGAGCCCGCTACTGCCATTTGTGAGCCATGAGGTTTGGAAATGATTGACGTGGTACCAACGAATAGTGAAGGAAAACGGAAAAAAAGTCTTTCGAAAAGACAATAGGACCTCTGTCTGCTCGAAGTACATGATATAAATATTCTTTGAAGGGACACTGAGCACAGAAAAATGTACTATGACGATGACAAAGGAAATGACAAGGGTGGAGGACGACTGTGCGGGCGAGGGCCGCTTTTGTGCCAGGGGCGTGTCGCTCCTACCAAGCACTTTTCAGCACCAAAAGCAGCACATCTGCTGCGCGTACGAAACGCGCTAGCTTGGGTAGGCAAAGATCTCTGCACGTCATGTAGTTGCGGGCCTGCAGCAGATATCACCGCAATCAGTCGGGGTGCCCCCAAGGCAGATGAAATGGGTCCATCTGCGGGGCGTCTACTGGACTTCCAAATTGCTCGCTCACCGATCACCTTTGCGAGGTAAGACATCCGCAGACGGGCTCATTCTGCCTTCCTAAATCAGTGTTCAGACCTCACGACTGTAGACCAGGGCACGCCATCTTTGTGATCATCACAACGGGGGGTCGTATTTGCCCGCGATGGAGGGGGGTCGTAAACGCATGGCCCATGTTGAAGTGGAGAGAGCGGTGATACACGGTACAAGTGAAAAGAAGCTCAAAAGGGACGATGTAGATGACAATAAATAGAACTAGGCACTATCGAACTATTCCTAGGCCAAAAAAAAAATTGCTGAAACTTTTTCCTCCTTCCTCACAAAAAAACTTCAAGACACTTCGCCCACCAACCCTCCTCATCTGGTCTAGATAAATCCCAATCCACTAATCCGCAAAATCTAGAAAAGAATCCATTGCAAAAGCTACCTATGAAACCGTAGAAATTGAATCCTGAGCAATTTCCTCACAACAAAATCAAACTCAACAAAACAAAATCAAACTCAACAAAAACAAACAATCAAAGTAATTCACAATAAAATGGATAAGAAAAAACTCACCAGCTCAGCTGGGAACCGGAACTATGGATTACTTTTGAATTTTGGCTGTTCGCGGTCAGCGCGCTCATACAAGCTCATTGGTGCGCGCTATTTTACGGCCTGGAGCCAATTTCAAGCCAAACACGTGAAAAGTACCCCTCATTTGAACACCCATAACTTCATTGGGCGCCAATTGGCATCACCTCTGCAATGCGCCATGCATGGGGCTTTCACGCAGGTGTTTGGAAGGTGTAACTTCTAGATAGGGCTTCCCAATTGCAAGCAAATGTGCTCCTGCAATCAGAAAAGTCCGGGAATGTACTTTCATCTGTTTATTAATCGTCACGAGTCCTTTTGTTTGTTTATAAATTCATGGTGCCCTTGTGGGCGGTGATCGTAGCTCCTATCATCGCCCCTTCCTTCGTACGTATTGTCGTTTACTGGTCTGTGGAGTGCTCTGGAACCAAGCTACAATCTTTCTGAAATGAGAATCCTGTGATTGAGAGCGAGCGCCACCCAGTGTAGGCGGGTCTCAACACACCTCAGGCGTGCCCAAACTCCCACCAGATGTTGCCCTCCTACATCTACTTTTCTTCGATCTCTCGGGAAACGAACTAATGAATTTTGGGGGAAGCACCTGCTATCTCGAGCACGTCCCACCCATTTCGGGTGTGTTCTCCTAATTAGTCTGACTTTCCTTGCTAGCTTTATTCCTGTTGTTCCCTCATATCTGGGCTCTTTTGAAGCGGGTTATGAGTTTTGTGCGGCCCACCAACTTTCGGCTCATCCCCCGCCCATTGTGTGGCGGATTCCGCACAAGTCATGTGTGCTCTTTACATCTTGTCCTATGCCCTATCCTATCCCCACCTTGACCGACCTCCCAAAGTTGTTCTTCAGGCCGAGCCGAACTTCCAGACAAACAAACAAATCAAGTCGACAGACAGACGAAGGAAATTATACGCAGGAGTGATATAGGTCTTTAGGAGCTGCAAGATCTCTGAACAACTTAGTCACCATAACAACTTTAAATTTGCACTAAATGAACGAAAAGTACATTACATGTGTGCATGCTTCCTCGCCGTGCCAATTGTCGGGTTGCTTCTTATCCCAGTTAGTGTAGATCACAGGAGTGCCGTCGGTCCAGACCCACTTATCCGATGTCATCTACATGCCTCGGGCGTGAGTTCAGCTTATTGAACAGGAGAACCTTCCGTTTCAGACCTATCCACGCATGGTCGGATTCCGGCGTTGTGTCGGCCTCCAGTTGTCAAATCTGGAAATTTCACAGATTAAGCAAGAGTTGTTTTCTTACAAAAGTGAATGTGAGAAGAGGGTATATTTCTCTAACAAACTACCAGGGGCAGTAGTTTCGTGACTCCATCATATAGTGAGGTACAGTTGACATCATCGCAGTCGGTCGGGGCGGGTTCAAGAGGGATGGGATGGTCAGAGGGTCACACCCGTGTCGGTGTTTCCACCGAGTGTAAATTCTCTTCTTGAATACACATGGTACGATCACCATAGTTGAAGCGTAGCGGCTTCCCGCCCGAATATGTGCAGGGATGGAGATCCAGGACTGTGAAACACGCTAGTCCCTCCATGCTCCGCCTAAAATGCAACTTGCGGAGCAGACTTCAGTATGTGTGCCCAGTATGTGGGCTGGGCCCCTCACATACTTCCACCACGGCCCACTACAACCATTAGTAGCAGTAACTATTATTACAATAAAACATTTTACAAAAGCAAGGTAAACAACATATATATAACCTTGAACAATTTTGGTACTACTCATCAAGTGAATACATGTAATACAGGATGTAATAAATGTAATATTATAGACAAAAAAGTTATATAATCTCAAATACTACAAAATTGAAAATTAACACTTTTACCGACAATCAAGCAAATTGTTGCAGTAAAAACGTAATATATTGTCTTAACTGCTTAGAGTGCGGACAACAATATGTAGGCTTAACTACAAGAAGATTGAAAGATAGAATAAACGAACACACATACCATATAAATAAAAACGATTCTTAAGTACATATACAAACATTTCAATGGAAAATGCCGTAAGAAACTTTTTTCCTTCACAATACTTTTGCAGAATAAAGAATCTTTCTGGATTAAGCTATTAGTCACGGCATTTCCATTTGGAAACAATGATAACATAAAAACATATGGGAATATATCTGACATTATTAACCCTCTCACACATAAACCAGAACATCCATATTTCAGTTTGAGGATTCTTAGACAAAGAGAGAGGAAAGGCACGAAAAGAAAAAGAAAGAAATAACAAGAAAAAAGATATCAATTCGGAACTAAATAGATTTTTAGAAACACTACATAATTCTACAGACATAAAAGACATCAAAAGAGAATTATATAGCCTAAACAAAAAGTCCATCAAAAGTTTAATACAACTAACCTATTCAAATACAACTCTTTCGAATATACAAAAAGAGAAAAAGGTTTTTGCTACTATGTTTCTTGTGTCATTTTCAATTCAATTTGCACAAAGCAAACAATCATGGGAACAAAAACTCAAATATCAACTTCTGTAACCTCCCCACATATTACATACACAACGTCTTAGATTATATCAATATAAATAAAATAATGAATTCTAGGAACATCACACAGATCATTCAAACAAACTCGACAATATCCTACAAACCCTTTAAAGTCATATATTATTACGACAAGCCTGCATCACAGTTCATTTTCAATTATAACCAAACACTTAAAAACAACAAAAAATGACGTTATTGCAATACTCAATTCCAAGTGTATTTGTGAAGATGAAGGCTATAGTAATAATATATGACTTTAAAGGGTTTGTAGGATATTGTCGAGTTTGTTTGAATGATCTGTGTGATGTTCCTAGAATTCATTATTTTATTTATATTGATATAATCTAAGACATTG